AAGTTATTAGAGAGTTTATTATCAACACACTTTACTAGCTAATTTGTCTGAATTTTAACAGTCCATGTTTAGATTAGAATATTCACAAGTAGCCTTGTTCTGACAGCCAATCGTCTTCTGGCTGGCACATGAAAAAATAAACGCTTAGTAAGTAAGTAAGTAAGCAAGGACTTTATTTAACAAGGGTAAACACGTAATAGTATACAATGCTAATCAACGTTTACTCACCCATGTCGCATTACCTTGAAAACTACACGGGCGTACATTTCAGTCATATTTTGGCTCTATTTACAACTAACTTTTAATGTCTTCCGATCAGGGGCAAATTTCCTCAATCAGGGACAGATTTGGCATTTATCGCTTAACGTTCTCTGGCGCTTACACGCTCGTCACAGGACTCCCCAACTCAGAGTAGAACGCCTGGCTGTCCATATACTAAATCATACCTAGTCTACCTAGGCAAGAAGATGCCTTTACGAACAACGGTGATCGGTAGCTTTCCTAAACCAGATTACCTGTCTCTACCTGACTGGTTTCGTACGCTTCAGGACAGTGGACGTATTGCACAATACAACAAGATCATTAGAGAGACGGATTCTCAAACTTTACGTGAAACAGTACAGAGAGCAATCAAAGAGGTCGTGGATGTTCAAGGAACAGTAGGTATCGATGTCATTACAGACGGCGAGATTCACAGAGAGAATTATGTCCATCATTTCTGCCGTCGTTTGAAAGGAATCGACTTTGAGAATTTAACTGTTAAAAGTTCTCGTAATGGAGCATGGATCGGTTCGCTACCAACCATTGTTGCACGAATAGAGGCTGATAGTGCSAAAGCCTGGRTTCMAAATGAATGGAGAGAAACGCAGAGTTTGACAAAGAGACCGGTTAAGATCACTCTACCAGGACCTCTTACGATAATCAACTCGGTTTGTGACAACTATTACCATAACGACCAGGAACTCAGTCGCACTTTGGTGAAGATCTTAAATGCAGAAATCTTAGCTCTTGCTGAGTCCGGTTGCAAGTACATTCAGGTGGGAATAGCAGCTCCAGAMTACTGCCGGATAGACATTATAAGCATATTATAAGATTTTAATTGCTTCAAACGGCATTATTTAATAAACTGTTCAGTTGGCTCATCTGGTAGCCAAGGCTACTCAACCTTGATCACAGTCACATTGACCTGACTGACTAATAGTCTCCTTCACAGTTAAAAATCAC